TATATATATATATATATAGCTCTGATTTAAACGAACACTTGCTCTTCTTTTTTCCATTTTCTATTCTTTTTATTGTAAATTGTATTGTATTTGATGCCATGCAATGTAACGCCATTCAGACATTTATAAGTGTGACTTAACACAGACAGATGTCTATTTTCCCCACAGGATGTGACATCATGTAAGCAAGTAAATAGCTTGTTATTTTAAGGATATTGTTCGGGATACTCACAGTTTGTCCTCCTCCAGCTCATAGTCCATGTCTGTGAACATTATCAGCTCTGATCGGGTTTAATGTGGATCTGACGATCAAACCCTCTTCATTCATTCAGATGCTCTGAAATACAGCAGCATTAATACAACTCACTTTAAATCATCTGTACTAGCATTATACCCCGAGACGTATTAACTTTTAAAGTTGCTCGTTACTGTCATCATTATTATTATTATGACTAGCGACAGGTGTTTAAGCAGATGAATAACGCAGGTGTGTCTCTTACCGTTCTGTCGATGAAGAGCTGAAGTATAAAGATGCTGCTAACATGCGAACATATTAAAACAATGTTTTAGTCTTATTTTATGAAGATGATTCGATCTGAATGCCAGACAGCAGGATGTCTTCTTCTTCTGCTGCTGTTTAATCGTGACTGGATAACCAACGTAAAAAGCGCATTTCCGCCTCCTACTGTACGGGAGCGTGAAGCGACAAATGGTGGAATAATGGATTAAAACGATTTGAACTGTACTCGGCTAGATGAGAACTTTGAATTGGAACAGTACTTGGGCGACGACTGATGAGGTTTCACAAGTCCACAAGTACAGACAAGAACGCATATTGAGAAACGGCCTCTTTCAAATGATTAAACCATTATATATTCTGTATGGTGGACCAGTAGTGCACAACACAACGAAATCTCCAAAACACAACGAAATCGCCGCAGCCAGGGGCGTCAGACTGGGGGTAAAACCAGTACTGATTACCAGGGCCCCAAAGGAAGAGAGGGCCCTTGAAAAGTATGGAATATATTTTATTTTACCTGGATATTTTCATTTCCTAATTAAATTTCATAATGAATGTCAGATGAAACGTAAATTTTGTGTATTGGCTGAATAACTTGGTTGATTGACTGACGGTTTCATGATCCCACCCCCCTTGCTAATGCGCCAAATGGTTTAGTCCATCTGCACGCAGTTTGTTTATGTTAGTTGAGCATCTGGTGGAGCGCTGTAGAAATGTCTTTCTCAAAGAAAGCCAAATCAGGCCACCAAAAAAGAAAGGAAAGACAGGAGAAGTTAAGAAAACAAAAGAGTACGGGGGGGGGGGCATGGGGGCACATCAGGACTGCCTATGCATAGGGCCCGGGATCTTGTGCAACGCCCCTGGCCGCAGCACAACGGAAACAAGCCACAACAACTGAACAATGGTGCCGCAAAGATAATGAATGGACTTTCTCATCTGAGCTGATCAGTGGTCGAACAATGTCAAAATGACAGAGATGGCCAATCAAATCTATGAAGGTCGGCATTACCCGTTTACAGGGGTGTAAAAAGTACTCGGAAATTATAAAAAGATACTGTACAGAAAATTGTGCAGCTTTAAATTATACTTGTTAAAAAGGATGACATGTATAGAGGAGAAACTGACTGCAGCCCATGAGGCAGATTCATCAGTCACTCCTGACCAGCTGAAGAACCTCCATGAAAAGACAGAAAAATACAAAAAGTTTGCAGAACGTGAGGAAAACAGCTGCGGGGAAAAAAATGCAGGGAAAAAAAGGTTATTCCTAGCATTTGGTGCCATTTGAGTCCCCATGATGTAATGTGGTATATTTTGTGTAAAAATGGGCTAATACTTTGCAAAATGTCCAGGAGTCTCATTTATAAAACTCTCTGTAGATTTAATCCTAAAAGTGTACATATGCACAAAAGCTAGATTTTGCGTATGCACAAACGTACACCAGAACCCCTTTATAAGTCCTAGTCAGGGGAAGATTGTGCATATGTGCATCTCCACCCCGACTCCTCCCCGAAATCACCATAAACACGCCCCCACATGTCTACGTCACGATGTGGGAAGATTTGCATAACACCGCCCAAATGTTCACGCAAAGAAAGAAAGCGTAACTTTTATTCTCAATGTAGTATTGTTGTTGCCGCCGCCATGTCGTAGAGACGCTGTGTTTCATTGAGAAAGCGAAACTACTTTGTTTGGTCTTCCAAAAGAGGATGATGTCTGCTTCGTGATGCCTAGAGCTGATCCGTACTGGTCGCTGAGGAAATACATCAACTTCGCGCTGTGGATCGCCGGATCGGCTTTCACCGTGGACGAAGCGGAGTCCAGCCCGGGGTCGTCACATGTGGTTGCCGCAAGCCCGCCGGACGCTCCTTCGTCGAATCCGCCGGCCTCCGCTGACTCTAGCCCGCCGTGTGTGCCGCTGTGTGTTTCGTTGTGAAAGTGAAACTACTTTGTTTGGTCTTCCAAAGTTCCGACTTTGCTATGACAATCTGGCGCTTCTGAATCAGCGACTGTACGTATGTTTTGATATTAAAGTATTTGACTGTTCAAATGCGGAGTTTTGCGCAACGCAGAGTAAAGCTGTACAGTATTTGAAAAATAATGTGTTTTTTGAACATTAAAGCATTTGGTTACACCAAATAATGATCTTTAAAACAGCATCATATGACCCATTTAATATAACTTCAGTGATTATCTCCATTAATGAGAGTGGAATATTTAATGTAAATGTGTATATCAATTAAAACGGATTTTAAAATCGTCATTTACTTCATTACTTCTCACTCCAGGAGGAAAAAAAAAACAAAACAAAAAAAAACCACGTACGCATGGTCTAGAATGTCCGTACATATTTACGCCAAGTCCATTTATATCCAGATACGTGCGTGGAAAACTGCGTACGAGGAACTTAAAGCACTGATGCCAGAAAGCAGCTATGTGAGAAAATAGCCAAATAAAGCCAAAAACACCAACTCCTCAATCAAGCAATTCTTTTTATTTGAGGTGGGGGTGGGAGGGCTCAAACTAAACCGTTTGAGCAAACGGGGAAAAAAATAAAAAATAAATAAAAATAAAAATAAAAGTTATATGAATAAAGCACTGAATTGAAAATATTTCCAGTAAGTGTTATGCAAAATTCCCCAGAAGCATTTCAATGACCACATCCCTGACAACGTCGCTGACCACATCCCCCACCATTTCCTTCACCACATCCTCATTCCCTTGCTTGACCACTTCCCTGACCCTGGCTGTAGTGAGAGAGAGAGAAAGAAAAACACAAAGAGAGACAAAAAGGAGAAAAAAAAAAAAAAAAAAAAAAAAAAAAAAAAAAAAAGTTATATGAATAAAGCACTGAATTGAAAATATTTCCAGTAAGTGTTATGCAAAATTCCCCAGAAGCATTTCAATGACCACATCCCTGACAACGTCGCTGACCACATCCCCCACCATTTCCTTCACCACATCCTTGCCCATTCCCTTGACCACTTCCCTGACCCTGGCCGCTTCCCTGACCATAACCGCTTCCCTGACCATGGCCGCCCCCCTGACCGCTTCCCTGACCATAGCCGCTTCCCTGACCACTGCCCTGGCCATAACCGCTCCCCTGACCCTGACCATGCCTGCTTCCCTGACCCTGACCGCTTCCCTGGCCATATCCGCTCCCCTGACCGCTTCCCTGGCCCTGACCGCTCCCCTGACCGCTTCCCTGGCCATTGCCGCTCCCCTGACCGCTTCCCTGGCCATGGCTGCTTCCCTGGCCGCTACCCTGACCGCTTCCCTGGCCATAACCGCTTCCCTCCCCTGCCCTGGCCATAACCGCTCCCCTGACCCTGACCATGCCTGCTTCCCTGACCCTGACCGCTTCCCTGGCCATATCCGCTCCCCTGACCGCTTCCCTGGCCCTGGCCGCTCCCCTGGCCCTGGCCGCTCCCCTGGCCCTGGCCGCTCCCCAGACCGCTTCCCTGGCCCTGGCCGCTCCCCTGACCGCTTCCCTGGCCATTGCCGCTTCCCTGACCGCTTCCCTGGCCCCTTCCCAGACCGCTTCCCAGGCCCTGGCCCCGACCGCTTCCCAGGCCCTGGCCCCGACCGCTTCCCTGGCCCTGACCATGGCCGCTTCCCGGGCCTGACCGCTGCCCTGGCCATAACCGCTTCCCTGGCCATAACCGCTTCCCTGGCCACTACCCTGACCGCTTCCCTGGCCATGGCCGCTTCCCTGGCCCTGGCCCTGACCCTGACCATGGCCGCTTCCCTGACCGCTTCCCTGGCCCTGGCCCCGACCGCTTCCCTGGCCCTGGCCATGGCCGCTTCCCGGGCCGCTTCCCTTTCCCTGGCCGCTTGCCAGACCCCTTCCCTGGTCTCTTCCCAGACCGCTTCCCTAGCCCTGGCCCCTTCCCAGACCGCTTCCCTGGCCCTGGCCGCTTCCCAGACCGCTTCCCTGGCCCTGGCCGCTTCCCTGGCCCTGGCCCCTTCCCAGACCGCTTCCCTGGCCCTGGCCGCTTCCCAGACCGCTTCCCTGACCCTGGCCGCTTCCCAGACCGCTTCCCTGACCCTGGCCGCTTCCCAGACCGCTTCCCTGACCCTGGCCGCTTCCCCGGCCGCTTCCCTGACCCTGGCCGCTTCCCAGACCGCTTCCCTGACCCTGGCCGCTTCCCAGACCGCTTCCCTGGCCCTGGCCACTTACTTGACCGCTCCCCAGGCCCTGGCCCTGACCATGGCCGCTTCCCTGACCGCTCCCCTGGCCATATCCGCTTCCCTGGCTGCTGCCCAGGCCCTGGCCGCTTCCCTGACCGCTTCCCTGACCCTGGCCGCTTCCCTGGCCCTGGCCGCTTCCCAGACCGCTGCCCTGGCCGTTGCCCTGACCATGGCCGCTTCCCTGGCCCTGGCCGCTTCCCTGGCCCTTGCCATGACCATGGCGACCTGGCCCTGGCCGCTTCCCTGGCCATTGCCATGACCATGGCCACTTCCCTGGCCCTGGCCGTTGCCCTGACCATGGCCGCTTCCCTGGCCCTGGCCGTTGCCCTGACCATGGCCGCTTCCCTGGCCCTGGCCCCTGACCGCTTCCCAGGCCCTGGCCCCGACCGCTTCCCTGGCCCTGGCCCCGGCC